GAGGACGCTGCCTAAATAGAGATGTGAACAGGTGCACATAATAATGAAACAGGTGAAACTAATGTGAGTGATGAAGAACGTAAAGAAAAGACCAGAACTAAGGTGAAACAAAACAGGAAATAGTGTCAAAATAAAAGCCAGACGGGAAGCAACGGAACCGAATCGGGACAAGAAGGTCATCACCAGATACAGCTTCTTTCACAGATGGACAACATGTGCCCTTCAGGGGCATAGGAAAATGTTCAGGAGGACAGTGGTGCAAATAACATTGGAGAAGAAATATAGATTGTTCTGAATGAAACCAATAACTGCTGTGTCATCTGTGGACTTCAGGAGCTTAACAGAGGGCTCCCCTGAAGTGCAGTCATTTATTTACAAAGAAAACAGCAGCAGGAAGAAAAACACATCCCTAGGGGGCACCTGTGCTGATTATCTCTTCTTTCCACTCATTCACAGAAAATTTTGAATATCATCAGCATAACCTCACAGATGAGGGCAGCGACAGAATACTCTTCGATACAGACTGATAAACTTCTATTCAACAGATATGAGTTGAACTATTTTAGAGAATTGCCTGTAAAATGCCTCTACTGGGCACGCAAAGGATCGGGCACAGTTTGACTAACCAAAAATGCAGAAGGGTACAGGACGAAAGACAAGACACTACGGGAGGGAGTAGACTCAAAGTTAATGACATAATGGTGTAATGGTCTGCAAGGCTTCAGGTCATGCAAACCAAAATTGCTTAAATTGATTCCAGTGACTTTGTTGCTTTATTACAAATTCTTATGACAGCATCGCTGTATGCTAATACTTTTTCCCCCAAACCCCCCTTTTGTCTGACCATTTTCTAATAAATTTTGAACTTAGATTAATGCATTATAACTATATGCATTCCCATATAGTTATGGGAAACAGTTCCACTACGGTAGATGTTGATCTGACAATGCTGGCGTTATCAAACTTTTACACTCTGGAACCTGTTTTCAACATTTTGCATTTTCATATCCTTGAAAGACCTTTGTCATGTAAATGAACAGCCAAAATGGCAAAATACTTTATCAATATCAAGTGTCGTGGCTAGAGTGTGATACCGACTAAATTAATTCAGACAAACCATTACAATTTAAAGGATCATTTAATATTACAATTATTCTGAATAGAGTAGTATTTAAACACATAATCTTGTAGTTAGGGAAACAGAGAACAGAGTCTCTCCTCCTGCAATGTGATAGATAAAGCATTAAATAAGAAGATGGTCAAAAGCGTCAGTCAGTCTTGGTTACAAGGTCCAGTCAGTCAGTTGTTGTCACGAGGTACCGTCAGTCTTAATTCAGCATCCCCCCCAGCCGGCTGGGTCAGGGTCCCCCCACAAAGTATACTCTCCCTGTCACAGTAACATTGTCATCCTTTCTTCCTCTCTAACCCAGCTTTTTATTGGCTCGCCCTTACACAGCCCTTCATGGCCTGAGCCATGAAGACGCGGTCCCATGCCA